AAAATGGTCAGGGGAATATACATTAATGAAACCATAAAAACAATTCTTTAAAATTAAATGTATAACTTTCAAATTCATTAACTCAAGCACCACAAAAATTATTCCAGGAATGTACAGAATTTTAACACATTTACAGGCAGAAGGAGCTAGTTTTTAGTACGGAGTTGATTAATTCCACTATTAAATGAAACTAAAGTCTCTCATAAATCTCAAACATTTAAAAAAAATAAATGGAAATTACTACCCACTCCAGTGGCCAAAGATCGGTAACCTGTTATGAAGTCTGAAAGGCACTAGCACTAGGATGACATCTCCTTACCTAGGACCGTTTATTTCCAAATCCGTTGACAGGTAAAGGGTTTTGCTTCAGCTGGAGAATGATTGAACGCATGCGGGACACATCCTTGCTGCCCTTGCTAGCTTTTGGATTAAAGTCACAATGCTTAGCAATGCGCTCCCATTCAGTGCCAGGTTCAATTTCATCATCATCTGCTACAAATTGTTTTTCAGCATTCCTAGAAGAAAAAAAAGTTGAAAATAATTATAATCACACAATAAGAACACTAAAATGACAATCATGTGCTTCTAACTATAAAACAGTATCAATACACATAAGTAAATGTGCAATACAAGACCAGGACTGATACTTTGCATGCACCAACTACTGTGTTAGTTTTACGATGTACACTCTAAATATAAAAGGACAATTTTGTCCTTAGAAGTGGAACCGATTCGTGCACATCCAGAAAGGATGCAATTTTGTTCCTAAATCTAGACAAATTCTGTGAGGCTTTTCACAATTTTGTCCAATTTAAGGAACAAAATTACATCCTTTCTGGATGTGCACAAATCGGTTCCATTTCTATGGACAAAATTGTCCTTTTACATTTAGAGTGTAAACACAGATTTAAGTAGCTATCAACAATTAAATCCTAGGCTATAATATAAATGTGAACATAGTACAGTAATTAATGAAAGACTCAGCCAAAATAGACTTATGTCCATCTTGGAGACATATTCAAGGGAATTGCCCAAACACACAAGTAGCAAGGGCTTCTACGACCAAAGTCCTTACAGCCCAATATTCTATCTTTTGATACTTAACATCAAATGTAGCAAACAAAAAACGTCAGGTAACACCATGTCAAACGTAACATATGCAACAAGTAATTATTCCTATTCAAATCAGTACTTGTTTAAGGCTGAATTGACACATGCAAAACGCAAACACAAAAGGGCAATGTTTTCAAAGTAATTAGAAAAAGCATATTTGTCTGATCTTAACACTTTACAAACCATGCAAATTTTTTGGAGTTATTATGGTTGCAAACTACACATTCGTAAAACTAAAACTACTCATAGTTCCACTCCGCAATATACACGAGGTTGATATCATTCCAGAATTTTAAAAAAAGCATGTCAATAACAGCACAATGACAGGTAACTGTTACTTACATAGCAGACTCTCTGAGAATGCATGAAATAAAAATGAGGGCTAGCTGTTAGTAAAGTTAGTACTGTCTTTGATGTTGGAATAACTCCACCACAATGTGCTTACAGGATAAAGATTAGATATATGAGGTATTTCTTCAATATTATAAAAATGTCAACATACCGGTTTGCTGCCCGAGTTTTGGCAATCAATTCATCATGATGGCGATACCATTCTTCAAGTTCCTTTTTGGCTGCTTCATGCCATTCTTCTCTCTTCTTTTCTTCATTAGCATCTGTTAAATTAAATTTGAAAAGTTAGAAAAAAGTATAACAAGTAAGGCAATAATAATAAAAACATGAGGAGATAACAGACCCTTTTCTTCCAGACGCAGCTTTTGCTCTTCTCTCCATTTCTTAATTTTTTCAGGCTCCTCCCTCACAACAGTTGGACGGTGAGCTGGGCTTGGTGTTTCTGCAAAGTAAAATTATTGGATGCTAAGAAACTTCTATCAAAGATTAAAATAACTAAAGTTGGACTTATGACACAGAATAGACTCCAGATTAGATAAATCCCAAACATTGACTTGCTTCTAATAAATTTTAGGTAAGAATTAATGACTTTATTATCGTTTCCCACTTAGTGTGGTGGTGTGGGTGTTGGCACTAGAGAGCAAGCCAAATTACAATAAGAACTGTCCTACATGCCTTTGAACTACCAAAGTTAAGAACAAGAAAAGCAAAGTGAGCATGTTTACTTACCTTCCTCAGCAGTCTCAGCACTGCCGAACTGGTTCTCACTGGGCGCATCACCTTTGAGAGAACCAATGCTTTAAAATTACAAAGCGATTATGATAAAAATGCAATTAAAAAATAAAAGACACTGTACATGCAACATGCCATGCATAGTGTTGGTATAGTTAAGAAATGCACTAAGGAATCTGCCTTTGTTTTGCTACTGCATGTAAATTGCAGACCACAGGATAGAAATTATTGTACATTAGGAAGCAAAGAGTAGGGCAGCAAATAAGCAAGAGATGACAAATTGCAAAGAATGCAAGATACTAGTTAGCTCTGAGGCAAAACAGAATTATTCAGGGCACTCTATCCAAGAAAACTATGTGCTGAACAGGGAAATCTCCCAATGACCTTTCATCACAGAGTTCAGATGCTTATTATGAATATTGCAATCTATATAAATTGTAAAACAACAAACTGTAATGGAAAATCCCAACTTGACTTACCAAAACTATTTAGACCTCCTGTTTCACTAAGTAAATTATCTTGTGATGGCTCCTCTTGCTTGACAAAGAGATTACTATCTTGAGAAGCTTGATCAAGAGAATCCTCAAATTCAAAAGGGGCAGTCTTGATATCTGGGGTATCAACTGGAACCTGAGCTACTGGGGTCTGTCCAAAGCTGGCAAAAGGATCTTGGTCTTGATCTTGAATGGATGGTAGACCAAAGGGATCCTCATCTATGCAATTGGGATTTCAGTAAATCTAAGTTCAATAACGACCATGTTCTTGTTAGACTTAAAGGGCACATTTTGGAGAGCATGATTGTAAACTCAAGTTTAAAAATGCCTCAGAAATAGAAACAAGCAAGAAATGAAAAATTATCTGAAGGAAAATCTCTAAAGCTGAGATTTAAGAAGCGTTATCTAAAGTAGCCCAGTCTTCATGAATTCCTACGACTACAACAATCATAAACAAACGGTAATAGCAACTATATTACTTAGAGAATCAATCGTGACCATCTCGAATGTGGAAACATACTTGCATATGATAAAACCGACAAAGATTGAAAGTTTTCGAAAAGAAAGAAGGCATGTGCAAGGAAGAAAACAAGTGGCAACCCGTTGAAATAAAGAGAAACAAGATAAATGCACCAAAATAAAAACTACGTAATGATGCCGAAAGATTTACGTCATACACATCGGGTTTACAACGAAACTAAAAAGCCAAGGTGCTAAAGGACCATAACCTCAAAAATTTGAATTGTGTAAGGGAATAAGTTGCGGTCCTACCGTTCGTTAGCACAGCACCAGATACGGCCGGTGCTGCAGGTGTAATATCGTCGTCCAGACCAGCAAGCTCATTCTGTTCGCGAGCAATAAACTCGGCGGCTGGGTCGACATCAGCTTGGTCAAAGTTATCGCCAAAGCCGTCCATTGTGCCTTAACATAAACATAAGACCTTGCACTTTATTCACTGCAAAACACCATTCAATACAAATGGCTGCGACTCCATCGCAATCAGCAACGAACCTTTAAATGAGGTGTACCGGAGAAGTTTCGTCGGCGATCTAACCAAATCTTCTAATGAATGACACCCACCCACCAAGTGTCAGCTTGGCATCAGACTAGATGAAGTTTTCTAGGACTGGAAACTCTGCACCCCTCCGTAATATATTGGTATTTCGGCAACACAAGTAAGCAACTCCACAACACAAAAGATCTGAGAGAGATATATTTATATTAAAAGAACATGTCTTAATAACAACACAGGATATATCTAAACGTGCAATGCTATGTTATTTATACTAAATTGATAGGAAAATGTAACATGGTGGCTAGTATTTGTATTTCGACAGTTAAACTAATGTTGGTAGTCTTGGTGAGCTGCTCCGTAAACCCAAATTTTCATTTTTTCGGGGTGGGGCGTTCATATTTGATCCATTGTTGTCTAAAAGAAACTCTAGATTCCCCAAAACTGTGTCTTTTATTAAATTTTCAGAAGAAGCTTTAGATTTAAACTATTTTAAAGAGATTACAGTTAGTATCGAAAGGGAACGATCGATCGAACGTGGGAACACAACAACAACAAGTCCACGAGCACGAGAGTCCAACCTCTTACTTGTACACTCATCTTCGGTATGTGTGTGTGTGTATGTGTGGTGAACTCTATGGATGGACGGTATTGTTTAACAAAAATTGTAAAAAATCGTTTTCGAAATGGCCACAGAGGTAATGAAAACTTTTAGTGCCCTACAAGAAGAGCTGCAGAAGGCTAAAGAAGGGCTAAGAAATGTAGACAGTAATATTAAACGCATCATTGGAAGGGACCCGGAAGCCCAGCCTCCAGGACAGGGGCCACCAAGGTAAGCGGCTACATCAAAAATCGTCCTTTCGAAATCATATTGTGGTTTCGGCAAGATGCATTTTCTAGCTTCTCTACAGGCAGCGCATTCCTGATCCATTTTGAATGTTTTTTGTGAACTGTCGTTCTTACTTTGTCTCTTCTCAGTTTTGTTGAGGTTACCTAACCTCATGTGGCCAAACATTGTTTCAGTCATGCCATTCATATTTCTTTCAACAAATTAATTATTTCATATTATTCCTCTTCTTTATTCATATTAGTCTCTCACTCTAATTAGTTCCTATTATCTTTTCAGGCCTGGCCAAAAGAGACCTGCAAATCAAAATGAAGAGTTTTATGGCCGAGGTAGAGGATCTTTCCAAATGGGTGGAGGAAGGTGAGTCCATAATAAACACAATTTGTTGTTTAACTTTGGATCATGAAGTCATTTTCTGACAAAATTTTGTCTGTTCTAGGGGAAGAGGAGGGCCTCCTGGAAGACAACAGGATGACGAAGGGCCACCAGGGTTACGCGGTCGGCTTGGAGGTAGAACTGGGACAGTGTTTAGCAGGCTGTCAGGACCTCCCATGAAATATATAAAGAAAGAGAAAGATGATGACGAATACTCAGGGCCGCCCTTGAAGTTCTATAAAAGAGAGGAGGAAGATGATGATGTAGAGGATGAGGATGTGCAATTTACCAAACCTGCTATTAGCTCTAGAGTCATACCTCAAACTCGAGAACTTCCGTCGAAAGAAGATATTCTGGCAGCTCAGGGGGATGAGCGCAGCAAGGCAAGAAATCGAAGAATGTTTGGAGCTCTTCTGGGAACACTTCAGAGGTTTAGACAAGAAGAAACTAGAATGAGAGACAAAGAAGATAAAAGAGCAACTGTTGAAAAGAAATTAGAAGAGCAAGCAAAACAAGAAAAAGAAGAAATGAAGAAGGAACGTCAAGAACTATTCCATGACAGACGTCGTAAACAGCAAGAAATACGCCGCATTGAATTTAAAATTCAGCGAGTTAAGGAACAAGATCAATGGGAAGCTCAGCACAGACCATTATTAAACTTTATTCAAACTAAAGCAAAACCATCTTTATTTTATCTACCAAAAATTCAAAATACGAAGACTGAAGAAAGACTTGTTGCCAGTCAGAAACTCATTGCTAGTAAGTGTCTCTCTAGTTTTTTTCCAAAATGGTATGTTTTAGCTGTAAAATACCTCTGTCAATTTACTGTAACTTTTTATTCCTACAGAAATGATGGAAAAGAAGCGAGCAACTGTTCAGGAAGAATTGGAACGCTTTGAGGGTAATGCACAGATTAAGACTGAAAACTCTACTGAACATCAATTTGAAGATAAGGATGAAGATATGGAAGCAGAAAATGGCCCTTCAGAAAATATTCCTGGATTAGAAGATATACCTGTAGACAGTCCAGTTGAAAACAAAGAAAATAGGCTGCGATCAATAAGTAAGTACAATATCTATCCTTTTCATCTTTACCTTCTTTATTTGTTAATTTCTTTTCTAATTTTTTTTTCTCCCTCAACAGATGTCAAAGTTGAAAAAGATAAAGATGCTAAGGTGATTGAGGTAGAAGCAGATGGAAACAAAACTGATGGTGAGCACTCATCTGATCTCCATAGGCAAGCTCCAGGTATGGTAAATCGTTGGTACCAACGGGATTCACGTGAACATAGAGATCAGCGCGACCATCGTGATCGCTCCAGAGATCGTCAACGGCGTGAATTCCAGCATGATAAGGAACGTAGCAAAGATAAGGAAATGGATCGTGATAGAGGCAGGGAGCGGGAAAGGGAGAGAGAGAGGGGCCGGGGAAGGGAAAGAGAGAGGGTGAGAGAGAGGGAAAGGAGAAATGACAGGGAAGATAAAGTGGAGGTGAAGAAAGAAGATGATGAGAAATGGGATAGAAAGAGAGACAGGCGTAATAGTAGTGATACAAATGCGTTGGATGATGATGATGAAACGTTTGAAGAGAAGAAAGATTCCCCTGCCAATGATGCGCCTGAGCTCAGTTCTATATCTCTTCCTGGTGAGCAATCATCTCCTCTGCACCATTCACAAGATGAGCAAGATGACTGAGCTTACGAAAGCTTACAAATTTGAAGCTTTGGAATGTCAAGAGTTTTTAGTAATTTTAACTTTGATTGCAATTGTCTTTCCTCGTAATATGAAAGATTGCATTCTTTTCTCAATCTATGTTTGTATAATTATTTGTGCATGGCTAATGTTTGTCCATCACTGTGTTATCCAGAGATCATGTGTATTGGAAATGGCAGAGAAGTTGACAAATAACCACTCTCTGTTCAGACATCATAGGTTTCTCAAAAGAGCTTGGTGGTTAAAATTATAATTTGCCTCATGTATCATAGTTTTGTTTGAGTGGTTCAATCTCCTTACGATTGTGATGTTTTCCTTGTCATCCATGTTTTGCATGTTTTCCAAGCTCTACAGTATTTTGAAACAAACACAATTTTCATATTTCCTGCTGTTTTTACTTTTTTTTTGGACAACCCTTACAGTGTGGACAATATCTTTGTCCAATGAACAACACTCTTACTGTTTTGATATGGACTGAATAGGCAAGTTGTGTCTACTCATTAAGGAAAATCTGTCTTAGTCTATGCTGCCCTGGTCTTTTATGATTCAATTGTAAGTGACCCTATTTTGCCTATTTTGTTTGGTCAAGTTTGGTTATATTTCTGAATAAGTTACTGCCATATCATCTGGACAAAACATTTAAAACATTTTTCTAATCCATTTACCATGAATGAAATCAAACAACATGCATGATAAATACGGTATTTCAACTTGGTTTCTTATAAGTTTTTTTTTTTTTTTAAATCGGACAATTATAAGTGAAAATTGACATTCAGCCATATTTTCAGTTGTGCTATGTTTTACATGTGCACATACGTCAGATGTTCTATTGGTCTTAATTATTTAGTTTATGAAGGGAAAGAAAAGATATTTGTAAAGTTATCATAATCATCTTTGTCTATGTCAATCTATTATAAATTATGTGATTAATCCCTTGCAATTTTCATTATTTGCCTCGTATTTTGAGATCAATGTGAGCCCTCAAACCAGTTAGTGATACCTGTGTTCTACGCATTTCATTGAAAGAGGAAATTCTGTTCTGTCCATAGATTAAAAAAATATCAAGAGGTAAATCTACACATTTCAAGTAGGAATTTTAATTTGGCTTACATTAACTTTGTATGAGTTCCAGGTTTGTTTAGTTACATAAATTTCTTCTGTATTGTTACCATTTTATTTCTCCTAAGTAGATGTAAATTAATATTTGTCTAGCTCTTAAGGTGTATCAGTTTTCGTTTTCAACGATAGGTGAATTAACTGCAATGGTTGCAATTAATCTAGTGTTGTCAATACACTTCATTTACATTACAAACAGGGAGATAATGATTGTTATTGCGACCACTTGTAAATGTATCTGCAATCAAAAGTCTCTGTCCTTGTGTTCTTTTTTCTATCTGTAAGGCATGAAGTCAATTATTGCCTTTCGTTTTGTATACAATACTGCAATATATGCTGATATATATTAAAGTATGCGTTTCATTCCACTTTCCTCCGCGTGTCTAGGTTTGACCTGGAGGCAGCTCATTGTCAGCCAGCCAGCCAGAGCCAGTGTCTCGTCGAAGCCATATAGGTGGTGTCATGTGTCATCCCTATTCATTGAAGAATTGACAGCCAGTGAAAGAGTTACAAGCGAGAGAAGGGAAAGACCACCTCTGCTTCCCCCCCTCCCCCCCCTCCCCCTTTTCCCCCCGGTGAATAGTGAAAGGGGAAATTCGAAAAAAAGGCTTGTGTCGAGTAAATGACCCCTATGTCACCCCTTTCGGCGTCGAGCTCATTTTTTGGATTTAGCTTGCTCGACGGCTAACGCGAGTCTACCTACGGCGCGGGCCGCATTTGGAGTGTGGTGACATCGATAATTAGTGTCGTACAATGTGTGATCTGTGGCTGGGAGGCGGTGGGAGAGCACTCGCCGTTTTGATTTAGTTTCTTGGGTACGCTGTTGTTGCGTCACGGCCGTCGTGATCCTTTTGGGACAGTCTCGTGCACGTGGTTGCTTGCACTCCCTCTGGACGTGCCGTGGAGCAAGAAGCCCGTTGCGCCGACGTCTCGGGGCGCTTAAACGCCCCCCCCCCTCCCCCGGAACTGCAACCCCATGTGACATCCAATCCGGCAAATAATAATGAAAAAAAAATGAAGAACAAAAGAAGCACACCCCTCTCTCGCCCCTCCCCCGTATGTAGCGATTCGCACGCCGGCGGGAGAGGAGAGAGTGGGGCCCTCCCTGGCGCGGGGCTCCCCGGCTCCCCGCGGCACCGCGTTGATCCCACCAGGCCCCACCCTGTGCCCCGGCCGGGCCCGCGGGGGGGCCGGCCCCTGCCGCGGCCCCTGCGGCTCTTCAGTTTGTGTTGGTGTCTGCTGCGCGCAGGTCAGGTCCGGGGCGGACCAGTGTTGTGTTGCGCGCCGCGGCTGCACGACCAGGAGTACGTCGAGCTGCAGCAGCACGGCGCGGCCGCCATGGAGGTAAGTCGTCTAGGCTAGGTGGGTCGCCCACTCGGCCTATTCGCACGGGGTCGTAATGGGTCAATAGGTAACCAGTGCAGTTCAAGTACCCCGCGAAACAGCTCGGCGCGGCCCATACGTCCGTTCGTACGGTGTGCCGCGTGTTCGTCGGCGAGGAGGTCGTCACCGCCGCCTGCGCCTCCGGCGCGCCGCGTCCCACAGCCGCATACCTCCCGCAATCTTCGTGATGTCGGTTTTTCGGGGAAAGTCCTGCGCACGATTTGGCGCGGTGTCAGTCATCGCGTCGACTTTTAAATACGCGCGCCATAGCCGTGTGCCATCCATTCGCTGCCGACGGGACGGGAGTTAGACTCGAAGGTGGTTGGGTAGGTGACGGAAATTTTAGCTATAAGGATGTCATGTCAAGTGACATCTAATGACAACCTATCCTACCGCGTTGCCCAACACGCCCCTTACCCAGCTAAAGTGTCCGGGGCGCCCGGAGCTTCCGTCCCAGCTGCTCGGCGTGGCTGCCTATCCCTCTGTCATCTAATCGCATGTGAACTTGTGGTTTAATCATCTTTGGAAACAGCGAACAGAGCAGACAGCCCGCGCGGCGCGGATTGTCGCGGTAATGTACACCAAACATGGACAATTCACGCTTAGCATAAAATGCAATGAGAACTGTTTCTTCACCATTGTAAGACTAGTACGGGGCCAGCAAGTGGCGTATGAACTTGTAAAAGAAGCAAATCACGAACAAGTAAAGATTACATTCAAAATCTACTTAAATTTGGCAACGTGTCCTGCGGCATTTTCCTTTGAAATAAAACGTTTTCTTTACTGCAGTTTACCCCCCAGGTGTTTTACTCCGAGCCCGAATAATTTCCGGCAATTCTCAAACACTCTACCGGTAATGCGAACGCGGGGGCGGGTCAGGAGGGGAGAGGAGGGTCACGGGAAGAGGCGCGGCCCACCCGCGGCGTCGCCACCCGCCCCTGCAAGCATGCTCCTCATGCAAGCCGACAATGAGGAGGAGGAGGGTCATGAAGCGAGCTAACGCCCCTGCACGGCAGCCCTGGCGACATAACGACGGAAAAATGCAGTGTGCAAGGTAGAGGGAGTGGGGGCTTGAGCGCGATAAAGGGGGCGCAGCGGGACCCAAATAATTTCATTGTAGTGGTGTGGTGGTTGGTGGTGTCGGCTGTCCGACCTGATCCTCGCCACCCTGTCGAGCTACGAGAGCCCATAAGTTACATCTCTCTCTCGCGTGCGTTGAGGTCTCCTGGAGCGCCCCGCGTGTGTGTAACATATTTGTAGTGTGCTCACCGCACACACACGTGTGCCCCCCTCCCCCCACGCGCGCGTGGCGGGCGCCGCAGCTGAGCGCGCGGATCCAGTCCGGCTTCGCACGGCTTCGCATCTCCCCTTTACCCCCTCCTCTCCCCCCCCCCTTTTTCCTGCACACTCGTCCACCTGCTGTGTGTAGTATTACGAAACGGAACGGAACGGGGGCGACCGGTCACTTCCATAGAACCTCTCTCCGGCAGCATCCCGGCTCGCGTGATAACCGGAAACGGAGCGCGTTGTTGGGAGCACGGGATTGTTATGCTGAAGAGGAGGCCGGGCGGCGAGATATGCGATGACGCGAGCAGGCATATGGGCGCACCCTCCCAATTCACCTGCCCCGCCCCGCGGCCCGCGTCCGTCCGTCGTGGACTCCACCGAGTGTCCTCGTGCTTGTGCAGTTCGCGGGCTCTGCTCCGGGCGGTGCAGATGGCGACATTTTATATTCTCTAGCCGAAAATGACGATTATTGCACGTCGGATCTGTCACCCTTGTCCAGCATGCGCGTCTTTATGAGCCTTTTAACTTTTTTCGATCACCGCGGTGGTAGCCTCCTCGCGGCGGAGAAATGCCTGTTGATCGCTCGGCGCCCGCTGCTCCCCGCCCCCGTGGCCCGGCCCGGCCCGGCCCTGCGAGGCGTGCCAGCGAGCCGCGGGAAGCACTTCACTTCCTGAAGCTCGCGCGGCCCGCGGCGCCGTCAGTCACGCCTGCGGCTCGAGGATGCCCTGCCCGGCGCGGCGCGAGCACCGGCCAAACCAAACACCCACCTACCTCCCACCGGCCTGTGGGTGCCTGTGGGTTTGGTCAGTCACTTTGCCCCGCTGCATGGCGGGGGCTTACAAATGATCTGGGGCACAACGCAGCCGGCGTGGCGCCGCCGGGCGGGTG